AAACATTGGGTGGTGTTGGTGCCATTTTGGGCAGTTTGGCCTTACGAAACGCTTCTTTTACCAAAGAGGCACGTAACAAAATTGGCTGATCTGAATAACGAAGAAAAATATTGTAAGGTTAATATCACGCGCGTAAAATTCGCCCCAAAAAGCACTGAATGTTTTTCGTTTGTTTCACTTTCAGCTCTTGCTGAAATAATGAAGCGGCATTTGACCAAATACGATAATCTGTTTAAGACTTCATTTCCCTATTCCATGGGATGGCATGGTGAGTTTCTTCCGTTATAGCATTTATCTTTTAATTTGTCGATCGGACGCTCAAACTTTTCGTACTCGCATTGCAGGTGCTCCTACTGGTAACGATCATATGCGTGCCAATTATTGGCAGTTACACGCTCACTACTTCCCTCCCCTACTTCGTTCCGCTAGTGTAAAGAAATTTACTGTTGCATACGAGATGCTGTGTCAGTCTCAAAGAGATTTAACACCCGAACAGGTAGATCGTACAACATTGCATTTTAACTTATGATTAACGATTCGTTGATATATACTCCATTTTATATTTAGGCTGCCCACAGATTGAGAAGTTTATCAGAAGTACACTATAAATGTAGCTGATTTTAATGAGTAATTTTATATATTTATACGAAACTATCTTTTGCATGTAATAAAATGTACTGTACATTCTATAATTAACACTATTTTACATTAATATGTTTATATTACATAACATTATTACACATCATTGCCTGTATTTTAATATTAAAACTGTGAAGGCACCAGCGTAATGTAGAATACGAGGCTATCTAATTATTTCCATGATTGGCTGCCGTGACTTATACTGCCCATGAAATATTGTGCAATTTGGACAGGATTGAAACATGGATTTTCTACAGTGATGTGCTAACACGTGGTTCTGAAAGCACAATTGGAGACGTGTAAAATAATGGAAAAAAATTATAGAAATTAAATTATTATTGGAATACAGTAGAGCGTCGATTATCCGAAAGTCAATCATCTGAAACGTCAATCATCCGAAAGAATTCCAGTCAGCAAATTTAAATTTTCGCCAGTGCTGTGGCGCTGCAATTTTTGGCTATGTCTTGGGCTACTCAAATATTTTACTTAGGGGATGAAAACTTTTAAACGGGGGATTTTCCTCTAAAGGATTAAAATAATGTCTTATTTCGTCATCTGGTGATGCAAAAGATAATTGTCGATAATACTCGTATAATTCCGTTATCTGCTAGTTGTACGTAAATAATTACATCATAGAATTGTGATTACAAGTGTTTAATTTAAAAAACAGACAAATGGATTTTATTCCTTCAGGTAAGGAAGGAATAATCGTCTCGTATGTTTATCGAACATTAAGATTTTGAAATTCGTTTAGAGCACCAACACATGAGATTTAATCCTCTGTTGGAAGAATGGATGTTAGTTTCTCCTCATCGCATCAAACGACCTTGGAAAGGGCAGGTAGAGGATTCCGTGGAAAGGCACATTCCACCTTTCGATGCTAATAATCCTCTTTGTCCGGGTGCCACTAGAGAAAATGGCGAGGTAAGTTTAGAGAATGGATGACAAACTTTAGAAAACAGCGGTCAGCATTGATGGTCCGCGAGAAAATTTGGGGTGGTCTGTGGAGAAATTTGGACATTGATCAATCAACCGAAGCATACGCGAAGTATTATGAAAGAAATGCAAAATGCTTGGTTGGTTTTTTCCACGCTCATTGTGAGTTTTTTATTCGAATCTAAAACCAAATACGAAGTAACTGTTATCAATAAATAATGAACAATAAACAATGTTGTGAGTGCGATTGTCGTCCTTTGTGGAAAAGCTCTAAGAATCCATAAACTTATTTCAAACAAGCAGCTATGAACTTTAGGCTTGCATTAATTTGTTATAATTAAACAAGTGAGTTTCATATTAATATAGTAAAATTGAACTTTTATGATCATTAGTCTACAGATTTTGTATCGTTTAAAAAATACATGACAGTGGTCCGCGAAATTCAAAATTGTGAGCTTAGTAGTTCGTGAGGTCAGAAAGGTTGCAGACTGCTGCACTAAAAGAGCCTTCCTTAGACCCGGGACTGACAGTCGGACGAAACCGATTTATTAGTAAAATCATCATTGAAAATTTTATGATTGTGAGATAATGCAACGCAACACGAGAGCTATTTGCCAAGAGATGTGCCTTCTGGGAGGACTTTCTGTGAAAGCAGGCTCCCGTTTAGATATAGCATACGTGAAAAAATACCGGAAAACTTGTGACCAGTCCTTTGGTCATCACAAAACAGACCAACTACTAGTGTTCAATGGTTTAATCAGGGCCGGATTAACCCACTTTGGGGCCCTAGACATTTTCTTCTTACGGGCCCCCTCCCTCACACANAAAAAAAAATAAGATCGCTATTGTATATTCGAATATTAGTGGTGGAATGGAAGCACTGATTGTCAGCATCCAAAATGCCAGATTCGCGCATGCGCTTTACAGAGCACCAACCTCACCCGGTTTAGCCGGTGGAAACTTAGGACCTCGGGTGGATGCTACACGTATACCGCATCCAATTCTATCCAGCACCGGTTCCGGGCTGTTAGCTGCCTGCCCGCTAGATATTTGGCTGCCCTCGCCCGATTACGTGAATCACGGGTAGATTTTTAACATACCAGTAAATTCTTATCGGTTGGGTTATGTTTTTATGATAGTTCTGTATAGTTGACAGGAGTTTTAAAAAATCCATTAAAATATTTGATATTTTTATTCCGCTTTCCGATTTTATATTACTCACGAATTTCAATGTTAAACCAGTGATATTACGATTTCATACATCCCATCTATAAGGGGATGTAGAAAAAAACGTGTACAATTCTTGTATAATGTTAAAAAATTAACTGTTACTTTGACAGCATCATTTACAACTAAATTTAACGAATGAGACATGCACGCACTGCACACCTACCAAAATCGTCTCTGATTCCATCCATGAGCCACTGGTAGGGAGCAATTTTAACTAAGTGGATTGTTTTAATATTTAAAAAGTAAAGAACATTTTGTTATTTTTATATACGTTTCTTAACAAAACTATATTCATACAATTAAATATTTTGTACCAGGTATGTATAATTGTATATCCATCACACATTTTATTTTAACAAGTAAGT